TGCCAGCATGTCTCAACTGAAGCCTGGAGGTGGAAATATTTCAATTACCATTATCAGACTGCAGTGGACATTAAATCCAGTCCTGAATTGACCTCGGCAAACTGAGCTCTCTTAGGTATCCACTCTTCAACCACAGGAAAGTGGACTGGCACAGGCAGAGGGGCTGGCAAATTATGACGCAGTCTCTTTATTGTTCAGATGGAGGACAAAGCACACTGCAGGGAAGCAATCGCTCAGCGCCAGCCCGGAGCGGAGTGTAAACACCCAGTGACACGGGTTCAGTGAGCACACTGGCATGGACTCGCAGACACTCCGGGACAATCACGGGCGGTATTTTTAGACCTGCAAGTAAGAGCCTCGCATCACTTTGCGTCCGTTTGTCATGTTCTCTTCTTGCCTCACATGCGTAGATCTGTTGTTGCTGTATTGAGCACTGTCTCAACCTAAGTTGTATCAGGTGTATTCCATATGAAGTTTCACTTACCGATCAGTTCATGTTTTTTCTCCATCACAGAGCGCCCGTCAGCTTACAGAATCACTTCCCCAAACCACAAAAAAACATTGGCATCAAGCCATACATGTAGTTATTTGCAAAGATTGGGAGGTATTCAGTGGAGATACATCTGGTCCAAAACTATACTACACAATGGAGTTGAATAGAATTCAGTTTGTGCTTGACGAAGCATTGAAAAGGCCATTTGAAAAACCCAACAACATTGGGTCTTCCTAGGAACATCGTCCTGTTTACTCATATTGCTGTGAACAATTTTCATTGTGAGGTGTTTTCTGTCACAGGTAGGAAAAAGTTAAAGACTATCCCAAGAAACCAGGTTATTGTTTATAGAAAGATCTTTCTGTTGAACCTTTTTTGTTGTGTTACCTTTAAAGCTCTGTTAATCAATAACAACGAACAAAATGACTACATGTAAATGGGAAAGGGGTAACACACAGTGGTGGACCCAGGGACACCCAACTCTCTTCGCCTCTTAGCTCATTGCTGTAGTTTTACTTTTACGCAAATGTACAGTGCATCCGGAAAGTATTCACAGCGCTTCTCTTTTTCCACATTTTGTTATGTTACAGCCTTATTCCAAAATGGATTAAATTCATTATTTTCCTCAACATTCTATACACAACAACCCATAATGACAAAGTGAAAACTGTTCTTTGCAAATTTTTGCAAATCTATTAAAAATAAAGAACGAAAACATAACATGTACATAAGTATTCACAGCCTTTGCCATGACACTCAAAATTTAGCTCAGGTGCATCCTGATCATCCTTGAGATGTTTCTACAACTTGATTGGAGTCCACTTGTGCTAAATTCAGTTGATTGGACATGATTTAGAAAGGCACACACCTGTCTATATAAGGTACCACAGTTGACAGTGCATATCAGAGCATAAACCAAGCCATGAAGTCCAAGGAATTATCTGTAGACCTCCGAGACAGAATTGTATCGAGGCACAGATCTGGCGAAGGGTACAGAAAAATTTCTGCAGCATTGAAAGTCCCAATGAGCACAGTGGCCTCCATCATCCAGAAATGGAAGAAGTTTGGAACCACCAGGACTCTTCCTAGAGTTGGCCGCCCAGCCAGACTGAGCGATTGGGGGAGAAGGGCCTTAGTCAGGGAGGTGACCAGGAACCCGATGGTCACTCTGACAGAGCTCCAGTGGTGTTCTATGAAGAGAGGAGAACCTTCCAGAAGGACAACCATCTCTGCAGCACTCCACAAATCAGGCCTGTTTGGTAGAGTGGCCAGACGGAAGCCACTCCTCAGTAAAAAGCACATGACAGCCCGCCTGGAGTTTGCAAAAAGGCACCTGAAGGACTCTCAGACCATGAGAAACAAAATTCTCTGGTCTGATGAAACAAAGATTGAACTCTTTGGCCTGAATGCCAAGCGTCATGTCTGGAGGAAACCAGGCACTGCTCATCACCTGGCCAATATCATCCCTACAGTGAAGCATGGTGGTGGCAGCATCATGTTGTGGGGATGTTTTTCAGCGGGAGGAACTGGGAGACTAGTCAGGATTGAGGGAAAGATGAATGCAGCAATGTACAGAGACATCCTCGATGAAAACATGCTCCAGAGCGCTCTGGACCTCAGACTGGGGCGACGGTTCATCTTCCAACAGGACAACGACCCAAAGCACACAGCCAAGATAACAAAGGAGTGGCTTCGGGACAACTCTGTGAATGTCCTTGAGTGGCCCAGCCAGAGCCCTGACTTGAACCCGATTGAACATCTCTGGAGAGATCTGAAAATGGCTGTGCACCGACGCTCCCATCCAACCTGATGGAACTTGAGAGGTTCTGCAAAGAAGAATGGGAGAAACTGCCCAGAAATAGGTGTGCCAAGCTTGTGGAAACATACCCAAGAAGACTTGAGGCTGTAATTGCTGCCAAAGGTGCTTCAACAAAGTATTGAGCAAAGGCTGTGAATACTTATGTACATGTTATGTTTTCATTCTTTATTTTTAATAGATTTGCAAAAATCAGTTTTCACTTTGTCATTATGGGTTGTTGTGTGTACAATGTTGAGGAAAATAATGAATTTAATCCATTTTGGAATAAGGCTGTAACATAACAAAATGTGGAAAAAGTGAAGCACTGTGAATACTTTCCGGATGCTCTGTACTTGAATCTCATTGCTTTCATTAACCCGAATTCCTACAGAAAGCCCTGATAAAAGCATCTCACGCTACCTTCCCAGCACCAAACCTCAGACTGGAGACCGAGTAGCAGCCAGCTGGTGAAGAAAATCAAACATGTAAGCTAACAACACAGATATTTCTCCACAGGAGCTGGAGGAGACCCAAACTAGAGCTAAAAGGAGAGTGCATATTTACCTATTATTATTGACTTACAATTGTCAGATAGCCAGAAACATGACTGTGAATACTGTATATGGTTATGTTGCTCTGTCTGCTGGCTTTGTAAATAGGTAAGCTGTGGCAGCTTGTTGTGGAGTTCTGCTGCCACCCGAGTGGCCAAATAAACGCCACAATAAAACTAAACAATCGTCAATCCACGCAGGTGTTTTCACCAAAGACTATATGTGGAGCTAAGTACAACCAAACACTGAATAAGACATTTTTAAATGAAAAAAAACAACAACTTTCAATCACTGAAAACTCACTGTGAAAGGGTTTAAGATGTAAGATGAAAACACGGAAACTCCCAGACCGTACAGCACCATGGCAGCAACCTGTCAATCACAGGAAGCCCCGCCCTAAAGCTTAACCCGCTTTATGGTCTGTTTGACTCTAAATGGATCATAATTTATTAAATAAACATCATGCTGTATTTAAGAAGACTTGAAACTAGAGATTGAGACCATAAACTCATGTTTACAATCTTTACTGAGGTAATAAATCAAGAGAGAAGTAGAGTCATTTTCTCATAGACTTCTATACAATCTGACTTTTTTTTTTTTAACCGGAGGAGTCGCCCCCTGATGGCCAGTAGAGAGAATGGTAAAGTTTAAGGGAGACTCGGAGATGGCTGCCAAGTGGGCTTCCATGTTTGAAAGCTGCCGAAGAAAAGATCCCAGCTGAGGACACGTGCATATCCAAGTTCAGCCGATGTGATATACTGGTACTATAACGGCATACGTTTGGATGCAGATCTCAGTTAATGTAATAGTTTGTGTGCAAAGATTACCTTTAAATGTGATTTCTTTTACTAGTTTAGCCTCCAAAAAACGTGTTCACATTTAACAGAAATTATGAACTTTTGGAAGGAAACAAAGGAGATGTCTCTACTTTCATTATAAAGCACATCAATATAGTCCAAAGACCTATGACTAATCTGCTATTCTGCCCTTTGTGTAAATTAAGAACACACCGAACAAAGGACAATAACGACACCTGTTTAAGCAGCGCCGCTTTACTCAACGCTGAAAAAACACAAAAATCTCCTGATTGCATCCAAGTGTGTGAGCTCAAAGGCCCCACCCTAAACGTGGAACAGTACAGTGTGTCTCTAATGTGTGCGTGCACTAGTGTGTGTATATGTTGCACTACAGTCCATTACTGAAATCACATTAGCCTCGGGGAGTGCACTGAGACAGGAAACGACCATCCACCATCTATCTCCTGACTCACTGTCAGTGAACACACACACACACACATTACACGATCAGATCTATAGATGGACAACACTTCACATTCATTTTCTTTCTATATGTCATACATTCATGAAAACAGACTCATAGATATCAATGAGATAGTTTGTAGCAAAACACATATACATGTGATGAAGTTGTTTGGGAGACACGAAAAGGAAAGGACAGGAGGAGGAAGAAGCTGCCCGGTAATATCAGAATGTCAGACCACACAAGGGCAGACCAGCCCAGCCCAAGAGTGGCCTGAGGGAGCAGATAGTGGACACACACACACACTCTCTCTCTATCATACAATGTATTATGCTGAAAGAGAACCACTCACATGCAGGCAGACTTTATATGCAATGTGTGTGAACATGCGAGCTATTGCTGACAGCTATTAAACTACACATGTATGCCTGCTAAAAACCAGCCCAGTATTCAGAACTAGACTACTCATTTGCAATATGTCATGTTTTGTGGAGGCTGCTCACCCTCTGACCAGTAAAGCGTAACATGGTCCAAGTAAACAGTGAGCCTCCATAAGGTATAGACAGGCCTGTGAAGTTGTAAACACTCCTCACTGCAGCCTGTATTAGTGACAGTGCAAGTCTGGCCTATTTGGGTATTATCACACTCCTAATGACTCTAAGTCTCTTATCAAAACAGATGGAATTGGCTGTGCTTGCTCATTTTAGTGAGCTAGCCATTTCATGCAACATCCGATGAAATCTGTCAGAAAATCCGGAGCTGATGTGCTAAAAATAAAGCACGGCAACGCCTTTGACCTGCTCTCCCCTAAACGGACGCCCAGCATCAGCAGCAGCGGTTCGGGCTGACTGACTGGGCCAGTCCGATGCGGGAGAGCGGGCTGCGGACAGACACCCACCTGCCGTATGCGGTTCTGGTGCAGCGGTGGTGGAGGTCCACCCTCCGGGGACGTGTTGCTCGAAGAGGCCATTTTCAGGTCGCGTTCGGAGCCGCCGCCCCTGGAGAGACTTCCTTCGGGGCTACTTGCCATTCTGTCTCGGGCTGTGCTGCTGCTGGAGGCACCGCGGTCAGTGAGGGTGCAAGGTGGATCTCTTGCGGCGGGGGGGGCCTCAGAATCCACAAGGCTCGGCGGGGCCCGGGATCATTCTGCGGCGTCACACACACACACACACAGTCCTGTTATGAAACGTGACAAAATATAGCGCTGTGATTCTTCCAGATTGTCAAACCGAAACGAGCGCTCCCTCTCCGTTTGAGGGATGCTCCCGGTGGTGTGTTGCTGTAGCCTGCGTGCGCGTGTGTGTGTTTATGTGTGTGGTGACGCGAGCGCGCCTCAAATGCGCTTCCCCGAAACTCCGCAGGATCACTGCTGCCTTCACGGGCAGTCGGAAACTTTGGAAACGCACCTTGGTTAGGGCGATGAATTTGAAAAACTGTATTTTCTGTCACCGGGCGAGGAGCAACAGTAAAGCAGATGCTTTAATGATTCATTGGTCGTATGTGACTAGTTAGAGTTATAGGGTTGCAATTGTTTTTACTTTGTATCTACATATAGTGGTGTTTTTAAAATATACCCTACACCACTTAAAACAGGGATTATACCACCGCAGCATATTTACTTATATTTTACTACCACCGAGAAGAGTAGTTCAATCCACTTTATCCCTATAATAAAAAATAAAAAAATACCTATAACAAGACATTTTGTGATTGGACCATTTCCTACCAACGGCACGTGAATGCACCGTGAAGCAGCATTGCGCTCCTGTTTTTGCGTTGTCCCCCCCGTCGCTTGCTTCTGCAGCAAGTTAACTGTGAGCTCCATGATAAAATGAAAACTGTATGACTGCTAACACAAATATGAAATATTAATCGAAAGCCCAGGCGCATCGGGTTGGGCTTACATAATGTAAGCTACTATTGTTGTGCCCCTGTGCGTCCTCACTGAGCTGCAAATTGAATGGGGGTCGACAGGGCAAAATCAATAACAATATGTCTTGGAGACATTTGAAAGCCAGGCATCACTCGAGTGGAGGAGGGCGTGGAGGAAGAGGGGGTGTAATAAGTCATGTTAGACAGACAACAAAAAAACGCGTGTCACTGTTTAGAGACTTCAGGTTGACAGTAGAACCATCTTGTTCCAAGTCAGATATTATTTTTGTTTACCTAAATGGCAGAATAAAAGAATAAAATATGGAAATAAGAGTCGATTAGATGTGCAGCAAATGTTATGTTGAATAACTCATTTCGCATTAATTTGTTTAATCGAAAAGCATCTGTGTTAAAGAGAATGACTTTTAATGGGTGTGGCCTTGTCTTAGACAAATGTGGATTCATGACTGCTAATTCCAACAGGAAGAAATTTTTGCCTCCGTTTCTTTTTTTAAAGATTTGTCACTGTAACCTAGTTCACGTAATGACAAGGCCGTAATGGTTCCTTCGGACACATCTTCTCATGTCAGTCATAAGTCATCTCATTAGTCCAGAAATGTGACAGATGTATATTTTAAATGGTTAGAACAGAAATATTAGATGCGAAGACTTTATCACACCACAGGGTACTCTCCTCCTGTACCAGTGAACATCCAGGGAATGGACATTGAGATGGTGAGATCCTATAAGTACCTGGGTGTCCACCTGGACAATAAACTGGACAGACGATACAAACGCACTATTCAAAAAGAGACAGAGCAGACTCTTATCTGGTGAGGACAGGAAAGACTATTCGGAGTGCAGGGAGTCCTGAAGAGAGACAGAGACCGAGAGTTCAGTCTGAGACTGAACAGACTGTCCTGGGATGCCCACTGGATCCAGTGGAAGTAGTGGGAGAGAGGAGAATGATGGCAAAGCTATCATCCCTGATGGACAACATCTCCCACCCCATCAGCACTGTGCAGCTCCTTCAGTGACCGGCTGCTTCATCCGCGGAGTGTGAAGGAGAAATACTGCAGGTCCTTCCTTCCTGCCGCTGTCTGACTGCACAACCAACAGTGCTCCCAGTAGACCACACAGACCATATAGGAATTCATGTGCAATATCAATGTACGTAAGTGCAATACAAACACTTCTTACCTCATATGTGCAATGTGTATTATATTGTACTTTTAGCTTTTGTTTTTTCTTTATTATAAATTTACCGACTATTTATTGTACTGTTTTTTTACTATTATTGCACTGTCCACTTTGCTGCTGTAATCCTGCAAATTTCCTAAAAGGATTATTGTATACTTCTATATGCAGCACTGCCCTCTGCTTCCACTGCATGGGATCACACTGCAAACACAATTCTATCCTACAAGTCACGATTCATGAGATTCCCCGTCATGCCAGTGGTTGGACTAATTGTATAAAATTCTCCCTTGATGACAGAAAACTTAAAATGAAAAGTACAAATTTAAAAAAGGTACAGTAATACACCCGGAAAACAAAAATCAGACGGGTAAATATATAAAAATACTTTATTAAACATCTACCTTTTACAAACAAGTTTATCATTGAACTGGTTCCAATCAATGACAGCAGCACCAAAACCACCAAGAAACATGAACAATAACAAACAGACAGACAAGGACACATGGTGGGAAAAGCTTATAAGAACTCGAGCTGGAGTGTATGTCTTTTTCTTCTTCTTCCTCTTTTATTGTGCGGAGAGTTGGTCCAGGTTGTCGTTGCTGCGGCTGGAGAGGTGGGCCTCCAGAATTTCCCCGAACAGATTGCGTTTCAGGAGGCTGTAGGCCATGGGCAGAAGCTGCCTGATAACCTTGTGGAAATACTGGGGAGAGTCAGGAAACAAACAGGTTTAATAATGCAATAATGCAATAATGCATTTCTTTCAACTACAATCTTAGTGGTCGCAACATTCAGGCCTTTACACTGCTTAAAGGGAGTGGGTCCCAAACCTTTTGGCTTTTGAATCCCACAAATGTGTACAAATATGTGTGGCAGAAATGTTCTGCCTCTTATATCCCATCAAAACTAGGGTTGGTAATGATGAGAAACTAGCAAGTGTATTCTAGATTTATAAAAACTATCAACCCAAAAACCCACAGCAGTGTCGTCAGCGTTTTCCCAATTGATAGAAGACATATCCGCAGACTTACTGTAGATCTTATTTGAGCTACATCAGAGCATACACAATTCCAACTCTTTTCCAATGAAAGTGGCTGGCAGCACAAGCTCCAAAAGTCGCTAGAATCTAGCAGGAAAGTCTACACTGACGGGCCGGTCCCTTCAGGCCTCCCTCTGAAGCCCCTCCCCCGAAATCATAATAAAGAACGTAAACAACAGACATGGCCATTGTTCGTACTCAGCGGTGAAACTAGCAGTTTGTGTAAGACTCTGGTTTCATATGGACTGAATTAAATGATTAGATGGACTTATTAGGAGTCCTGGGAAAGCCACAGGTAGCAGATTTGTCCTTGTTTTTTGTTAGAGCATTTGATTTATTGATTGCTGTGGGAGAAGTAATAACAATTTTAACATATGGAATAAAAAAATGGTTGTGACTACCAACCCTAGCTTTAAATCCCACTGTGCTCAGATTTATCCTGTGACCCACTGGAGGGGTGCAGACCCCTAAACAAGGCTATGGGGCAGTGCTTTGTGAGGAGCGTTTTACCTTTACTCCAGCACATAGAACAATGTCACAAGATGCGTGGGAAGCACTGTGCAGAATTGAAAATGCTAAAAATAACCTGAGAAGAGATTAATTCACCAAAACATGCGTTTGCATAAGTGGTGTAATGGATCGTTGTTGATCCGTGATGCGCACGGATCCCCCCTCACGGTACGGCACACATACAGTGGGTACGGAAAGTATTCAGACCCCTTTAAATTTTTCACTCTTTGTTTCATTGCAGCCATTTGCTAAAATCAAAAAAGTTCATTTTATTTCTCATTAATGTACACTCAGCACCCCATCTTGACAGAAAAAAA